CAGCTGGAGCGGCCCGTGATCAGCAGGGACGTCTGCAACCACCGCACCCGCCACGACGGCACCATCACCCCCAACATGATGTGCACCGACTCCCGCAGGAAGGACACCTGCAAGGTACCACCCATAGATCCACGCAGGGATGAGGGGCAAAATGCCCAGAGCCTGGGAGATGCTGTGGGGCAGGAGGGGACAGCGTCCCCAGGGTGGGTTGGGTTCTCCTTGTGATGGGGTATCCTAGCAAACCTTGGCACCATCACCCCCAACATGATGTGCACCGACTCCCGCAGGAAGGACACCTGCAAGGTACCACCCACAGATCCATGCAGGGATGAGGGGCACAATGCCCAGTGCCTGGGAGAGGTGAGGGGCTGAGGAGGAGGAGGGGACATGGTCCCTAGGTTGGGTGCCCCCTGTGCTGGGGTGTCCTGGCAAACCCTTGGTCCTAAAAACCCTTAGCATCACCCAGAACATGATGTGCACAGGCTTCTGCAGAAAGGACACCTGCAAGGTACCACCCACAGATCCATGCAGGGATGAGGGGCAAAATGCCCAGAGCCTGGGAGAGGCTGGGGGCAGGAGGGGACAGAGTCCCCAGGGTGGGTTCTCCTTGTGATGGGGTATCCTGGCAAACCCTTGGCACCATCACCCCCAACATGATGTGCACCGACTCCCGCAGGAAATACACCTGCAAGGTACCAAACACTCAGCAAGGATCCATGGAGGGCTGGGAGGGGACAGTGGGCACAATGCCCAGAGCCTGGGAGAGGCGAGGACCTGCAGAGCAGGAGGGGACAGCGTGCTCAGAGTGGGTTCTCCTTGTGATGGGGTGTCCTGGCAAACCCTTGGCACCATCACCCAGAACACGATGTGCACCAACTCCTGCAAGATGCAGGAAATACACGTGCAAGGTACCACAAACCCACCAAGGATCCATGCAGGGCTTGGAGGGGGCAGTGGGCACAATGCCCAGAGCCTGGGAGAGGCTGTGGAGGAGGAGGGGGCAGCGTCCCCGGGGTGGGTTCTCCTTGTGCAGGGGTGTCCTGACAAATCCTTGGTCTCAGAAAGCCCTTGGCACCATCACCCCCAACATGACGTGCACCAACTCCTGCAGGAAATACACCTGCAAGCTACCACCCACACAGGGCAGGGAGGGGGCAATGGGCACAATGCCCACAGCCTGGGAGAGGCTGCGGGGCAGGAGGGGACAGCGTGCTCAGAGTGGGTTCTCTTTGTGATGGGGTATCCTGGCAAACCCTTGGCACCACCACCCACAACATGATGTGCACCGACTCCTGCAGGAAATACACCTGCAAGGTACCGCACACCCAACAAGGATCCACACAAGGCTGGGAGGGTGCAATGGGGAGAGGCAAGGGGCTGCAGAGCAGGAGGGGACGGTGTCCCCTGGGTGGGTCCCCCTTGTGCTGGGGTGTTCTAGCAAACCCTTGGCACCATCACCCCCTACATGATGTGCACCAACTCCCGCAGGAAGGACACCTGCAAGGTAGCACACACCCAGGGCTGGGAGGGGGCAATGGGCACGATGCCCAGGGCCTGGGAGAGGTGAGGAGCTGAGGAGCAAGAGGGGACAGCATCCCCAGGGGATAGCATCCCTTGCTATCTACTGCAGAGCACCTCACAGGAGCCTGGGGGAAGAAGGAACGAGGGGTGGGAGATGGGCTGAGTGTCCTAGCAAACCCTTGGCCGTACTGATGAGGTCTGGTCCTGCAGGGAGACTCCGGCGGGCCGCTGGTGTGCGGCGGGGTGGCCGAGGGAGTGCTCACTGCCGGCTCCCGCGTCTGCGGCAACTACAAGAAGCCGGCCATCTACNGTGGTGGGTGATGTGATGGGTGACCGGACGGGTTTGTACCCCTGGGCACGCAGCACCCACCAGAGACCGGCCCCCCATCCCAACGGGGAGGGCTGGGATTGAATTTCCCGTATTCCTCTTTTGCCAAAAGCCTGAACTTTTCCAGCGTTTTTAAACCCCCGGTGCAGAAATCCCCGGTGGCGGGTGCCAGGGCCGGCAGCTGGGCCGGGCTGTTTCCTCCTCCCGCGCTGTTTGTGCCGGGAACTCTTGACCCCTTTTATAAGCTGAATATTTCAAAACATTCAGCCCACGCTGCGGAAACCCCCCCCCCCGCTCCCTCCTCCCCCCCTTTTCCTGCCCCAAACTGGACATAAAAGCGAGTCCCAGCCCCAGCCCGGGGTGAGCAGCATCCTCCCTGCACCCCAAAACCCCGGGGCGGGTTTTGGACATCCCCAGCTCTGCAGCCATGGGGCCAAACCCTGCTCCCATCCTCATCCTCGCTCTGCTGCTGCTCCTCTGGGCCCCAGTGGATGGTGAGTGCTCCCCCCACACCCAGCACGGGGGTCCCTGCTCGGCCCCCCAATTCCTGCAGCCCACGAGGAGGGGTCTGGGGGTGTGGGAAGGGAGCACAGGAGTGACCCTGCTCAGTGTCCCCGGCCTCTGTCTGCAGGGCAGCCCCGGGGACGGATCCTGAGGGGCTCTGAAGCCAAGCCCCACCTGAAGCCCTACATGGCCTCGCTGCAGCTGGACGGGCAGCACGTCTGCGGGGGCTTCCTCATCGCCCGGCAGTGGGTGCTGAGCGCTGCCCACTGCATGGAGGAGACGTGAGTGTGCCTGGGGGGGTCGGTGCAGGGCTGGGGGGGCTGCAGGGCTCAGGGCAAATCCCACTGTGGGACTCCAGGGTCAGAATGTGGGACAGCTCCCACCTGCACAGAGGGCTGTAGGGATTCCTGGGGCTCTGCAACCCCTCCACAGCACCCCAATTGTTTGTCCCACTCTCTGATCTCTTCCAGGGATGGCAAACTCTTCCAGGTGCTGCTGGGTGCCCACTCGCTGTCGCAGCCCGAGCCCCACAAACGCCTGTACCGAGTGCGTGCCCAGTTCCCCCACCCCGGCAGCAACATCCACAACAACAAGGATGACCTGCTCCTCCTCCAGGTGGGCTGCTGGCACCCTCCTCCCCACCGGGCACAGCCCCATTCCTGCAAATCCCACTGTCCTGCGGTGGAGGAAATCCTCAGGGTCAGGCTGGGCCATCCCTCCCTGTCCCATGGGAGCATCCCTGCTTCCCCCAGCTGTGACCAAATGCCTNGCTGCGGTGGTGCCCCCTGCCCCAAGGCCCCTCCTGGCCGGCAGAGCCCCCTCCCCTGCATTGGCTTGGGGGGATCCGAGGGGTGGTGCCAGAGCACGGGGGTGAGATGTGACCCCAAAATTCATCACCCCAGAGCTCTGCCAGCCTCCCTGGGCTCTCTCGGCTGGGAGTGCTTGCCCTGCCCGTGGCACCCGAGGGTTTCAGGGAAGGATTCCTGGATCCAAGCTCACAAACAGCCCCAGGGACAATGTCAGGAGCCACTCTCAAGCAGGACCTCGTGTCTCCCAGATTTGGGCCTGGGGAGGGAGGTGGGTGCAGCTCCCTTTGCTGTCTGGAGGCTCCCAGCCCCTCCTGGCAGAGGCAGCAGCCCCCAGCCCCATCCTCACCCTGCAGAGGGTCCCATTTGTGCCCTACCCCATATCCCACCCTGTACCCCATTCCCTGCACCCCACACTCACTGATTCCCCCCAGCCACCCTCTCCCGCTCCGGGGTCTCCTCACGGTGCCCTCGTTCCATTTTTGGCCCTAAGTGTGCAGAAATCTCCCAGCGTATTTAACACTGAAATCCCGAATCCCTGCAAGCTGCGATTAGGCTGCGGAAAATCCCGGATTTGAGGCGGGCTCAGCCCCCTCCCCACAACGCCACCACCCTGCTCCGACCCCTGCCCAGCGTGGGGACAGCGGGGAGGGGAAGCCACCACTGCAGAGGGGACAGCTGAGGGACAGAGGGACACAGGGACACCTGAGGGACAGAGGGACGCCTGAGGGACAGAGGGATACCTGAGGGACAGAGGGACACAGGGACACCTGAGGGACAGAGGGACACCTGAGCCTCCAGGGATCTCCCTGCCCATGTGTCCGGCCACCTACTGACCACTGGCCTGGAGGGATCAGGGGCTCAGATGTCAGGGGGTCAGAGGGGTCTGAGCAGCCGGACAAAAGGAATGTGGGGGTGTAAAAGCTCGTGGAGCAGGGAAAGGAGGAGAGGATGGGTGTCCTCTGGAGCCCTGCTCAGCCAGACCCTGCTCTTGGTAGC